TGGGCTCTCTGCCATTGTCCATGCCAGCAATGATGGACATATGACTGAGTATGAAGAACTATATGTTAGTAATAATATAGAGGAACTATGTGGGGGGGGAGGGAATTGGAGAGGGGATAAGGGAATATGGAACTGTATCATAAAATGATAGCAATAATAATAAAATGGAAAAAAACTCAACTGCCCCTAATTCAATTTGTATGGAGAAGGATGTCAAAGCAAGTATTTTATTTCTTTAGGTAGTTCCCCATCTATATATTTCATATGATTCATGCCTCATGACTCAGATGAGTTTATATTTCACTGATTTATTCTTTTACATACCATTCACATAATGATGACACATTCACACTTACCACTGCCCATGCTATTCCCTCTACGGGAGCAGTCTTTCAGCTTCCATGTCTAATTTGCCTTTGATTTGAAGATGAAATAATTAGCCTTCCAGGAAGCCTTTCCTGATCGTTCCCTGATTAATCCAAATGCTTTCAAGATTGCCTTGGTTTGAAGATCTCTGCTAAAATTACACAGCATCCTGAAAGATATCATGTTCCCTTTCAAACCCTTCAACCACACAGGCCAAGGCTGGAATCTTATTGTTTGTCAGTGTTTACTACAGAAACAAAACTTTGTAGGTGCCTGAAAACATTGGCTGAACTGTTAAAAGCACATTGAAGGGGTTAGACCAGATAATCACCAAGAAAATCTTCCAGCTCAAAATTTCTTCTATTTCTTTGTTTAATTATATAGAGATTTTTTTAGTCTTTCACCATACAGTTCCATGGGCACAGGGATTCCCCTTCCACCCTTGCAGTCACATTTCCACCGCTATTTTCCACCATATTATTACAATAGTATAATTCTTCAGCAACAGTCATAAGTCCAACATTCTGTTATCTAAGTGTACTATGGCATTGTAGGTGTGGACAATGGTAGAAAGTCTAGTATCCTATTGTCAAGATATACTTAACAGCTTTATTGGGAGTCCTTTAATTGGGGAGTGGAGATACATACTGCAACATATCTTCACTTCCAGATGTGCTAAGAATTCATCGAGCCTTCCAAGGTAACAGTCCTTACCAATCGCTTCTACTACACTGTTCCCTGTTAGATGTGCATGTCAGTGACAACAGGGTCAGTGTTCCCTTTTTTGTTGACTTATTTATTTATTTGAAAAGCAAAATAAGAGAAATAAACAGAGGGAGTCTTTCCTTGCTACTTCACTCCCCAAGTATCCATAGCAGTCAAGGATAGGTCAGCCCAAACCCGGGAGCCAGGAACAGCAGGTGGACCTCCCAAAAGGTTTGGAGGAAGCAAAGTAATTCAATCATCAGCTGTTGCCTCTCAAGTGCAGGAAGCTGGATCAGAAGCGGAGCAGCCTGGCTGGAATCATTTCAAAATCCTTGTTTGTTACAGGCATCTTTCTTTAAAGGTAGCATTGTGATTTCTTTTGAAGACACTAACATACAAAAACTCCCTCTTAATTCAAGACACTCACCAAGGCTGGTTTAATACAAAATCTCACTTAAAACATGAATTATCTAACCAAAAGGTAAAGGAAAAAAAAAAGAAATGTGAGGCCAAAAATTATTCCATAGAGACAGCAATGACTATATTTGGAACTTATTTTATAGAGTTTTACTATCCTATTGGCTTATTTGGGGGTGTAATGACTATCTAGTTTGAAGTTTATATCTGCATGTGTATGTGTATGGGATGGCTTTGTAGGGAGCTGGAAAATGGTCCTGTTTAGAGCAAGATATGCGCCGATGCTTGCTGTGTTGAGGAATTAGATGAAAGACCCCTTTGTGAGATTAGTATTCCCAACAGATGACCCCCTCCTCAGCAGATAAGAAACAAAACCATCTTCAGAAAGAAACTAGCATGTTTCATTCTGAGAAACATTTAGTGTAGGATAAGGAATGTAGGGGGAAACAATTAGTCTCTAAAGCTTTGTAATCACAAGCCCACAATCATGTCTGAATCAAATTAGTTCAAGGTACACTTAGGTTAAAAGTTCCTCCAGGCACCTTCCATATTTAAACACAATTTGTAAAACAGTAAATAAACAAAAGTTGCATTTCAGGAAGAAAAAAATTATAATACCAAATGTAAGATAGAACTAAAATCCTATATATAAGTACTATATAATTTGGAAGCAAATAAAGTATCTCAATTAAAGTAATGCAAATATATTACTTGTAAGAAGAAAGTTATTGATACTTTAAATATTAGAAAAAATACCAGGGTAACAACTAAAATGAACTAAATATATATTCTCCAAGTCAGTAGAAAAGAATGGAAAAAATGGAATAAAATCAGAAGTCACAATCAATGCAAAAGAAAGTTGGGGTAGGAACAAGCACAGCATTCTATCTGGGCACCGGTTCTAATCCTGGCTACTCCACTTCCCTTCCAGCCCCCTCTTGTGGCCTGGGAAAGCAGTGGAGGATGACCTTGAGACCCTGCACCCATGTGGAAGACCTGCTTGGCTCCTGGCTTTGGATTAATTCAGCTGCAACCTTTGCAGTCACTGGGATAGTGAATCAACTGATGGAAGATCTTCCTCTGTCTCTCCTCTCTGTGAATCTGCCTTTCCAGTAAAAATAAATAAATCTTTTTAAAAACAGTTGGGATAAAGGAAGTAGGGAGATAAGTGAGAGAATCTGGTAAAACTAGAAACCCAGACAAGACTGTAGAACTGAATTTATCATGTGTATGCCGATAATCACAACAATGTAATTGGGCTCTCCTCTTCAGTTAACAAGGATTAGCATTAATTAGAAAAAGAGGTTCACATGTGTCCTATTTATAAAATATGCTCCGAGATCATAAGTATACAGGAAGGTTTCTTCAAAAGGATGAGGAAATATTAGGTGTCATTTTTCACTCACTATAGGGTTTTAATTTTGCAAGATAAAAAATTTCTGGGGAGTAATTGCACAACAATACAAATACTTTTGAAACTATTGAACAGCACACTTAAAATGGATGGAATACTAAATTTATTGTTGTATGCACTCACCATAATTAGAACATTTTTTACTTATTTTTTTATTTTTATATTTTATTGTTTTATGATACTGTTCCATAGGCTCTGGAATTTCCCTTTGTCTCCTTCCTAAGTCCCGTCCCCTTACCCCTCTAATTTCCGCCATATAATTACAAAAATAAGTCCTTTATAAACAGTCGTAAGTTTATAATTTGAGCATTTTAAAGGAGAAACATGGACGTAGCACAATAGCCTAGGTTGCCTTGCAACCGCCAGGATACTAAATAGATGCCAGTTCATGTTCCCCTCCACTTCCCTTTCAGCTCCTTGTTTGTGACCTGAGCATGGCCCAAAGCCTTAAGACCCTGCATCTGCATGGGAGATCTGGAAGAAAGTTCTGGTTCCTGGCTACAGATCAGGTCAGCTCCTTCCGCTATGGCCACTTGGGGAGTGAACCAAAAGAAGGAAGATCTTTCTGTCTCTCCTCTCTGTAAAATCTGCCTTTCCTGTAAAAATAAATAAATCTTCAATAAAGAGAATCATGCAAAGCAAATACCAAATGGAGGAGAAAAAATGTGTTGTTCATTAAATGTTGCTGTCAATGTGATAATTTTATATCAGACATTTTTAATATTTAAAGCAAGGGCATCCATCTGATCAATAAAGAAGTATGTTTCCTATTGGTGAAAGCCTTAATTCACAAAAAAAAATACATTCCTAAACTTTTATAAACAATAACTTATTTTCAAAAAACACAAAGAAAAAAATGCTGCTTCAATGAGAAACTAAAATATCATGTTCGGATCCTTTAAGATATTTATAACTGAAGATAGGATAGTTAAAGCACATTAAAAGAATCACTATGATTACAATGCATATGGACCCCATAACTAATAAGCCTAATCAAGTACATACCATAAAAACAAAACACTGTCATACATTCCTTTAAAGACCTAGTAAACATTTATCAAATTTGATACAATGTAAGCCATTCTTGGTAACTTAAAAACTGAGTAGCATGCAAGCCACATTCTCTGATTATAACCAATCTGATAAATCAATCACAATGCATTTCATATGTACAGTATAATATGAAACATATCAAACTGCATATTTTATTTCAGGAATAAAAATTTTAAAATAATGCTGTCTTTAGTTAATTGAGAATTTGGGGGAATTCAATAGATATTAACCCCTTCCCTTTGGAAATAATTGAAAATTGCATAAAGTTTCAGACAAGGGAATAAAATCATGATTTAATTAACAAAGAAGTTTCTTGAGAAACATTACTTGGATGTGTATAAATGGACTGACTTAGCACTGCTCTGAATTGCTCTTAAAGCACTGCTCTTAAAGCTGCTGGCAATAAAGGCAGGGCCCCTTCTTCCAAGGACACTGCATGGTACAGTGCTAACCAACATACATGGTCTCTGCAGGCAGATGGATCCCAAAGCAAGGCTGAGGCTGATATGCCTAGGCTTAGCTGATGTTCCCAAACTCACTTCCAAGTCACTGCTTTCATGGGGAGGCAAAAACAAGGAGGTAACGAGATGAAAAGCATGTTCTGATTTGATTATTGTGTGTAGCCCTTGTCGACTTTCCTGTTTAAAATTGGTCTTTCTACTGTTTTTTCTTTTTGTCAAATGCTTTATGTAGATGAGCTTTAAGTCTGTGATCACAGGTAAATTGAAAGTAGGCTATCAAAAAAACAAAAAGAACAATAGGAAAAAAGGAGAAAAGGAAGGAATGCTGGAGATAAACAAAGTCATCCTCTTAGAATTATAATTTGAAACACATTAATCTGTTCTGCTTATATTTATAAACAAAATATAAAATTCTTAAAAAGAGATGGAAAGAGTGCTATTCTGTGAAACATCCCTCTCCAAGGAAACATGGACTGACAGATAAGCACTTCTCTAACACTAAACAGGGACAGCAATCTGCAATGTTTCAAAACATTATGATGAGGAACACAGGAGAACAGAAAAATTCCCTTTCACACCTTTACCTCCTTCCTGGAGCTGTGCTGTGATGTTGCGTTCACACTGTACTTTGGCTTTCATCATAAGCACAATCTGCTCCTCGATCGTAACAGTGCCAGAGGAATCCAGCTGTACAAATGAGCAAACCACAAGCAGGTTCAGCATCATGTCGAAGTCATGACATAAGCCTTCATTATTTCATCTCCCAATCTTTTAAAATAAACTTTGATACTATGTTATTTGGAGTAGTCCTTTATCTGAATCAAAATTCCATTTCCATCCATGTATAAGATCTTAAAGCAATCACTCATGTACCAGAACAGTGTAAAAAAAAAATCCATGCTAGAAATGTGCGGAAATGTTCACCGTAGTTAGTTTTTTAAAAACTTAAAAAAAAAACCTGGAATGTTATGGAGACCAATATTTTGTTAATTTTTTTTAAAACAGTCAAAGCACATAGAGAAATGAATTAAAACACTGCATTTACATGTTCCATAAAACTACCAATGAAATGTGGGGGGAGAGGAGGAACCACTCAATATCTTTTTTTTACTTTTTAAAATTTTTATATTTTAAAATTTAAAATATAAAGGAAACAAATTTCATGTATTTTAGATAAACTGTTTTAAGATCATGATAATACTTGCCACCTTCCCTTCTCTTTTTTTCTTTACTTTTTTCGAAATTTTAAAGGCGCTCATTAACTGTTTTTGGTGGTCCATGTATTCTATTTCTCTTTTTTCATTTATTATTATTATTATTCCATGATAGTTTTATAAGCATAGGGATCCCCTCCTTCACCTTCACTTCCTCCCTCCACGTTCTATCAACTACACACCAGTTTCTTCTATGTTATTACAAGAGTATAGTTCTTCAATAATAGTCGCAAGTCCAATATTCTAATATTTAAATGTGTCATGACAATGTATATACTGTCAATGATGGAAAACCTGGTATCATATTGACAAGGTATATTTAATAGTTTCATTGGGAGCCCTCCTTTTATTTGGGAATAGAGATGCATACTGCAACTTATCTTCACTTTTATTTGGCAAGGTAGGAGGATACAAAATTAATTAACACAAATTGAATGCACTAGAATACACAAATAACTCCATGGCTGAGAAAGAAAAAATATCAATTTCTTTTAAAATAGCATATAATATCCTTAAGTAACTTGGAATAAACCTAACCAAAGATATGGAAGGCCTCTGATGAAAATTATAAAACATTAAAAAATGAAATAGCAGACAGCAAAAGGTGGAGAAATTTACCATGTTTCTGGATTGGCAGGACCAACCTCAACAAAATGTCAAAATTCATCTGGAAACAAGAGGTTCACTAATAGTCAATGCTATCCTGGACAATAAAAATAAAGCTTGAACAATCACAACTCAGACCTCAAGACACTGGTAATCAAAACAGTCTGTTACATAAGCAAATAAGATCAATGGAACAGAATAGAAACCCTAGAAGGGAGCCCACACATGTACAGTCAACCAGTCTTCGACAACAGAACTGAAAATAACCAATGGAAAAAGTTGGGCTTTTCAACAAATACTGTTGGGACAATTGGATATCAGCCTGCAGAAGTAAGAAAAAAGATCCTCATCTGTTAACTTCATTTAAAAAATTAACTCTAAACCTGCACCCAGAAAGTCAAATTGTTAGAAGAAAATAGAAGAAGCATTCCATAAGATATAAGAATTGGCACAGACTTCCTAGAAAAGTCCAAACTCATAGACAGTCAAAACCAAACTAAACAAAAGGGACTGTATCAAACTAAGAAGTTCTGTACAGCAAAGGAAACAATCAATAAAGCAAAGAAGCAGCCAACAGAATGGAAGAAAAGCTTTGCACACTACAAAACAGATAAGAGACTAATATTCAGGATTCATAAAGAACTTCAGAAACTCAACAACAGCAAAACATACAACCCTGTGAAGAAATAGATGAAAGGAAATGAGCAGGTATTTTTCTAAAGAACAAATTAAAGTGGCTAATATTCATTTGAAAAAAATGCTCAGCTCCACAGCTATTAAGGGAAATACAAATTAAAAACAGTAACTTTGAGCTCTGGTTTGTTCATCTACGAGATAAACGATACTTCAGAGTCTATTTTCTTTATACATCGGGACAGTCAGTTCTTTGTTTATGTTTACCTTCTAAGCTCCTAGTGATAGTCCCTTCCCACCTGGTTGCTGGTGGAGTTCCGGCTGCTGCTGCCATTCAGATTGCCATTAGCTGAATGCCGCTGGAGCATCAATCACTGCAACACCACACCGTTGTGTCCGCTGCTTTCCTGTGTCTGTCAGTCTCTAGGTACCCCTCTGCTGTTCTGTCCTCTCCTATTTCCTGGGATGTGTCTTCTCTGCTTCATCCTGATTAAATGTTTCTCTGTCTGTTTAAATATGTCCTTACCCTATTCCTCCATCTTGATTCCTCAGGGAGGTCTTTGATTTTTTTTTTTTCATTTCTTCACAACATTTTCATGTTATTTAACTTCATGTTGTAAATTTTCCATTTTTCTCTCTATTATTGGTTTTGTTTTATGGCTTTCATTTAAGAAGATGTGTAGTAACTGTTTAGAAGAGACTATCACATCCAGATGTGAAGATACAATGCAGTATGTCTATCTACTTCTAATCAAAGCTGGACTCCCAATAAAGCTGTTGAATGCATCTTGACAATAGGATGCTGGACTCTCTACCACTGCCCATGCCTACACTGTGAGGATATACTTAAATAGCAGAATGATGGACTTATGACTGATTGTGAAAGATTATACTATTGAAATGAAATGGAGAAAAATAAGTGGGGAAGTGGAAATTTGGGGAGAGCGGAACAGAAGTCCCATAGCCTTTGGCATCACATCATGGAATAATAAAATAAATAAATAAATTTTAAAAAATAATAACTGGGTCCACAACTTTGCATTTCAGTTTACTGCTAAAACCTTGCAAATTCTTACACAGGATTTAAAAAATCAATTAATTTACCCAAGTGACAAGCTCCTGACTGACAATACAAAATCCACACATTTCACATCATGCTATAAACATACATATTGTCTAGAATCATTTAAAAATTATAAGTGGGTCCTGCGCAATGGTCTAGCAGCTAAAGTCATTGCCGTGAACAAGCAGGGATCCCATATGGGCGCCAGTTCTAATTCTGGCAACTCCATTTTCCATCCAGCTCCCTGATTGTGGCCTGGGAAAGCAGTCGAGGATAGCCCAAAGCCTTGGGACCCTGCACCAGTTCAGGAGACCTGGAAGAAGTTCCTGGATCCTGGCTTTGGATCAGCACAGCAGTAAGAATACAAAGAGATCTTCAATGTGCATGTTTAAAAAAAAAGACCTATACAAAAATAAATTTGGCAGACCCGTAATCGTAGCTGGAAATCTCAACACTCTTCTCTCAACAATTGCTAGAATAATTAGAAGAAAACCTGTTAGCACAAAGAACTCACAATGCTATCACCAAGAGGAGAAAAAACAGACATTTACAGAAGAGCTCACGAACACTGTAGAAAATAATTTCTTTGCAGGTACACACAAAACATATATCTAGTAGACCACATCCTGAGCCATGTACCAATTTCAACAATTTTTAAATGCAGCAGTCACAGAATGTATTCACAAATTATGTTATAATCAAATGGGAAATTCATCACAAAAAGAAAACATGGAATCTCCAGCTATTTAAAAAACAAACACACATCTGAAGAATCAATAATTAATAAGCCTCAAAAGAAATTTAAAAAGTTTATGTGAACAAAAAATATTAAATTTTGTCATATAGCTAAACCGTTACTATGAAGAATTCATGCTGCTATACATATCCACTAAGAAAGAAGGAAAATCTCATTCTCTCCCTTTAAGAGTCTAAAAAAAGAGCAAAATAAAATCAAAGCAGATAGAAAGAACACCTTACACGTAAGAGGAGAAATCAATGGAATTAAGAGAAGAACAATACAGAATTCCAATTCAAAAAAGAGTTGATTATTTTAAAATGACAAAAAGAAAAGGCAACCATTTTACAAGTTGACAAAGAAACAAAGGATTCAAACTGATTTACAGAAACGGAAAACAGATGAGAGCTTGAAAAGAGTTGAGAAATAGTAGATAGTAGAAAGCAAGCAGGACCTGTGCATGAAACTGCAACATTAGTCCAGAAACAGCACTATATAACAGGCTGCAATGTGTGCATGCTAGCTATGAAATGCAACAGTCCTGCTATAAAGACTGTTATAGCATTCAAACTGAAGGACACCAGGTAAATGACACACAGGTTGTCTATTTCTTACAACTCATTTGAACATACAATGATGGGAAGAAGTTAGTTTTCTACAGATGAAGCATCCTGTCCTAACTTAGAAACACAATATGTTTTAAAATTACTTAGTCCAGTAAACAAAAATTTGCAGGAGAATCAAGATGGAGCAATGGGTAAGGACACATTTAAATGGACGGAGAAACATTTAATCAGGATGAAGCAGAGAAGACACATCCCAGGAAATAGGAAAGGACAGAACAGCAGAGGGGTACCTAGAGACTGACAGACACAGGAAAGCAGCGGACACAACAGTGTGGTGTTGCAGTGACTGATACTCCAGCGAATTCAGCTAATGGCAATCAACTCCACCAGCAACCAGGTGGGAAGGGACTATCACTAGGAGCTTAGAAGGTAAACACAAACAAAGAACTGACTGTCCCGATGATCTGCTGTTTGATTTGACCAGGAACAGAGACAGAGCAGCAGATCCCAGATGGGCAGTGCGAGAACAAGGTGGATTTCACAGCCCAGTCAGCCCCCTAGAGCCAAATTGGGCACCATTTTGCCTAAGGAGGCAAAGGCAAGGGAAAGGACTGAGCATAAACTGACCAGGGAGTGAATTCATTTCTGACTCGGTGAACTGCATCAACGTGGCATTCTACAGGTTCCACCCAAGCAGGTCTGGGTAGCCCTCAGACCTGACAGCCAGCAGATCAAGAACACTAGTAGGGGCACGTCAGGTGCCATTTTGTACAGTGTGGCAATAGATTTAGAACTTCAGGGGACAACAGTGAACTGCACATGTGCTGAACTCATGAGAATTCACTAAACTCAGTGCATTATTTCCATAGGAAAATAATACCAACTGTGGCATTGTACAGGTCAACCTA